AAGAGGAGAATGGAGGGGAAGGGACTGTGGCGTGGCCAACCCTCCTGGGGGGTGATTTCTCGCTTTCTGGGAACCAGCAGTTAGCATAATGGCTATGTCGCTGGATGCCCACGTAGTCGACCGGGTTCGCGTCCCGGACCCGGTGGCTTAAAACTCATGCCAGGCGCGTGTGCATGCGTGCCCAAGATCCCGAGAGGAGAATGGAGGAGAAGGAATTGCGGTGTGACCATCCCCCCTGGGGGGTGATTTCTTGCTTTCTGTCTCTCTGTCTCTCTCTGTCTGGCGAGTGCACGCGCCCTATAGCAAAAAACCTCTCCAAAAAAAAAAAAAAAATAGAACTAAGAGGTAGAAGAGTAGGCTAATAATAATCAACGAAGTAGAAGGAAGAAAGGTGACAATGATTAGAAGTTGTTGAATAACACAAGAGTTATGAAAAGAGGTATGAAAACAGAAGAGGGCCAGTGTCACGGTGACAATAGAACACACTGGCAGTGCAAGGGGTATAAACCATACAATTGATTATGCTCAATAATACAACGTATATGGGTGTACTTCAGATTATCATTCTAAAATTGAAGACTATTCTTCATTGGGGAGCAATAGAGTAGAAGCATAGAAAGTTTTCCCAAGGGGGCGGTTATGTTGCTGGACTTCCACACAATGGACTGTGGTTCAAGTCCTAGGCCCGGTGGTTTGAAAATCACACTGGGTGCGTGTGCCTGCATGCTCAAGATCCTGGGAGGAGAATGGAAAGGGATTTGGGTGCGGCAATATACTCCCCCTAGGGGGTGATTTCTTTCTTTATCATTGTCCTTGTCTCTCTCTTCTGTGAGCACATGTGCCCTAAGGCAAAAATATTTTTTTTAAAAAAAGCTTTCCTGATCTTTGAAATAACATCAACATCTATTTCTACAGAATTTCAAATGAGCAGGCAAAGAATAATTACTTTTGATCTAATACTACTTTGGTTATTTATCAATACTTTCATTCTTCAGGCTCAGAAACAGCACCGATTTTTCTGAAATATACAGTTCTTTGTAATATCGAATCGTGAAAATGCAATGGGAGCCTGAAGAACAGAAGTTAATTTTTTGCAGAGGAAGCTGGAATACCACATGACTGAGCAAGAGTTTGAGCCCCCACCTTGAAATCTGAAAAATATACGATGGGGCGTGTGCTCCTGGGCCAAAGATCCTGACAGAATAGAGTATTAAAGGAAAAAAACGATTGTGGCATGCCTAGTCCCTGTTGTGGAGAGCTTTCTCTTTCATGCCCTCTGAAGCTGAAAAAAAAAAAAAAAGGAAAGAAAAGAAAGCAATGGGGCAGAACCATGTGAGGAGCCTGCCCAAGTCATGGTATCTAGAACATTGGTTCAAAGCTTCACTGTATGCTAGAATAAGCTATGAGCTCTAACGAAGTCTGATGTTCACAGATACTCTGACTTTATTAGTTTGTGAAGTGGCTTGGATACTGGAAATTTTAATAGCTTCTCAGGCGATTTGAGTGCACAGCCAACCTGAGAACCAATAATGGATCATGTTTTGTAAAATTCATTTCCACCAAAAGACAAATATTTAAAGGTCCCAAAGTTTAATGAAGAGATGACTTTCCTAAGTGCAGTTTTGTGCAGCTTTCAAAGGAGGCAATATTCTAAACTCATAAATGGCATCATCAGGCTGCCTGTTGCTATAAAAATGTACAAGTCGAAGTAAGTTTTTCCTTTTTAATTTTTGCCAGAGGGTGTGTTTCCTCATAAGGGTGGTGGGTGTTAAAGAGAGTGATATAGCAGCCCCCATGGGATATACTGCAATCCCTTCTCCATTTCTTTTTCTTTTGGGGTTTTCCTATAGAGTGTGGTGCATGCGCTCACTGGAGAGAGACAGAGAGGGGAACTGAGAATTTACCTCCAAGGGAAGATGAATACACTGCAATTCCTTCTCCTCCATTCCTCTCTTGGGATTTTGGGCATGCATGCACACACACACACACACCCTTATGAGTTATGCCTGGCGTGTTTTTCAAGCTGCTGGATCTGGGATTTGAACCAGAGTTGGCCATGTGAGATCAAGCTGCCTTAACTTCTATGCCATTGGGCTGGCTCCTCTTCTCAATTTCTCTCTTCTTTTGGGATTCTGGACATACATATACATGTGCCCAGCATGTTTCTCAAGCTGCTAGGTCCAGGACTTGAACCGCACAGTTGGCTATGTGGGATCCAGCCACTGAACCACCAGGCCACAGGCTGGCTGGTTCTTAAAAATTTTAACAAATGTTTACAATGTTGGATGAGATACATTTCTTTTGTTGATGCTAGTTAATACCTATTGTGTGAATAATCCCAGTTACATAATTAGTGCAGATTGACTTTTCTCATCTGTGCTAATATAAACTTTTAAACAAAACTTCTAGTTACTAGAAGACACTGTTATCCTGATTTTCAAAGCTATTTGGAGGACATAATTTTTTTATCGGTTGTCTCATTCTTGGCTTTTAAGACTTTTTTTGGGAGAAAATTATTATCTGAAACCAGCAGATATAGACCTAGTATAGAAACCACCCTTAATAGTTTATTTCAGCGACTAGTTTTAGCATACATTACTCCACAGCATCACTTCATGGAGTTATCCTACATATCAGCAAATTTATTTGGAAAAAAATAAATATTATAAAAGAAACTCTGTGGGAAAGTTGATCTACTACAAAAACATGTAACTTTCAACTTTACTAAATATTTTTAATGTTGCCTACTTCTGGACTTCTCTTTAAATGTAAGCATTAAGTAAAAGTTTGAAGAAAATTATGTCATATTAGTAGTGGAAATATCTCTGATGATAACTTGTAGGTTTTTTTTTTATGGTTAGCCTCTCACCAAAATAAAAAAATAAATAGAAGAATCACCCTTTCTGGTTATGAATAGTTTGAATATTAAAAATATAAGCATGGGGGGCTGGCAGGTGGCATGGTGGTTAAGGGCGCTCCACTCTTACATGGCCAACTGTGGTTCGAGTCCTAGACCCGGCAGCTTGCTCTCTCAATTTCCCTCCCTCTCTCTTGCTCTATCCCTCTCTGGTCAAATTAAAATAAATAAAGTTAAATAAAATAATTCTTTATAAATAAAGCATGGTATTGATTTACTGTTAGTAATGAAAAAATGAAAAGTGGTCTGTATACTGCTGATGAGTTAAAATACCTTTTTTTTTTTTTTTTTTACTATAGGGCATGAGACAGAAATAACAAAGGTAAGTAGGAAAGTACCCTCCTAGGGGGTATTACCACACCACGATCTCTTTCCTCTATTCTCCTCTTGGGATTTTGGGCATGCATGCACATGCACCCACCATGTGTTTGAAATTGTTGGTCTGAGAGTCATACCGCTTATTCGGCCAAGTGGGATTTAGTCACCTTAACCTCATGCCATCTGCTGGCCCTCTTATTTTTCATTCATATGTGCCAGACACTATTCTAAGTGCTTTATAAATATTAATTCATTTAACATTAGGGAAGAAAGTGGTTGATTTTCCAGAAGTCAAGAAAGTATGCTGAGGGAAGGCTGATTCAGTTTTGCAAAACTAAGTTTTCAAATTGGATTCAAGTTCACTCCTCTGATGCTTCATTTCCTTTCTGAGTCCTAGGCACAGTCTAACAGGAACATTCCACGTATTCCAGTTTAGATGAGGGTGAAAGAAAAACAATTTGGGTTTGCTAGGGGGTATAGTTTCAAAAAAGGTAGAAAAGGACTATAAAAAAGTCTGGACTAGGGGTCTCTACTTCTGGGGTCTTGGCCTTTTTTAGAATAATGTCAAAGAGAGGCAAGATGTTGTATTGGTTAAGTGTGTAGCTGGACTACCTTGGCTTTGCCAACTTACTAGTTGGTTAGCCATCTTGGGCAAATTAACTAACTTGTCTTTGCTGCTATCTC